CCCCAAAAAAAAAAAAAAAAAACCTAAACCCGAAACCCCTAAACCCCTAAACCTAAACCCTAACCCCCTAAAACCCAAGCCCCTCAACACTAAACCCCTAAACCCTAAGCCCTCGTATCATAACACCTTTGTAGAACCCTTGCGAACCAATCCCTCGCGCTGCGGGCATGCTGTCCTACCAAAAGATATGCATGTGCATATGCATGCATGTATGTAAACGCACATATAGATGTAAATAAACATACCTATATATATATATATATATCTATATATACACACATACAGATAGATAGGCAGACAGACAGACAGATAGATTGATAAGGGCAGAGAGAGTGAGTGAGAGAGAGACAGAGAGAGAGAGAGAGCAAGCAACAGAAGCGTACTGGGATATGCTATAGCTCAACGAAACAGGGGCTATAAATATCAAACATCGTGTATCTCTAAACCCTAAACCCTAAACCCTAAACCCTGAACCCTAAACCCTAAACCATAAACCCTAAACCCTGCAGACCCTTACATCACAGCCTGAAGCTGCCGAGGCTGTGAAAGGCTGAAACGAACAAAACCACCCAGAGCCCACGGTTTAGGGTTGAGGGTTTAGAGTTTAGGGTTTAGGATTTGGGGTTTAGGGTTTAGGGTTTAGAATTTAGGGTTTAGGATTTGGGGTTTAGGGTCTAGGGTTGAGGGTTTAGAGTTTAGGGTTTAGGATTTGGGATTTAGGGTTTAGCCCCGACTTGGGGTTTGCTCGCTAGTAGGCTACCTGTTCTGGGCACCTGATATGATCAGTGGGCCACGGTTTAGGGTTTAGGGTTTAGGGTTCCTTCTGGGGACACCTGACATGATAAGGACTACATTATAAAGAGTACCCGTGAAGGGAATCCTGCCGGAATTTAAGGGCCTCAACAACTAGACTATAGGCGTTTGGACATATACAAGCTATGAGTATATTTCAGGAAGCCAACAGTCAACTATATAAATCTCTTCGACCCAAATACAAAATATTTGTTGTTTATTGTCCCTTTGGGTTTCTGTTGCGGCAGAGTTCAGGTGTCTACTTTAGCTGAGCCCAGCATCTCATCAATGGCCGAGGCACAGGTATACGAGAACGTCCTCAAATTGGCGTAGCCTTTGCTTGCTTTAGGGTTTATGGCTTTAGGGCTTACCCTAAGCCCTAAACCCTAAACCCTAAATCCTAAACCCTAAAGGGCTATAAAACCACCATAGGTTTAAAGGGCCCGGGGGTCGATGATTTTAGTATTTTGGGGGCTGGGTGGCTAGATGGTGGCTTCGGGTTTAGGGTTTAGGGTTTATGGTTTAGGGTTTGCTGAAACTGATAAGGATTCTTGCTCAAGGTTCTTTACCAGAAGTCTAGGACATTTTCAGGTGGGTAGGTACCGTTATCGGAGCCTTATAGAAGGTCTATATTATACCTTATAGAAGCCCTATATACCCTAAACTCCCCACCTGAAATTTCCTTTAAAGAAAGTTCCGGGGCCTCAAGAACTCTCAGGGGGTTTGGGGCGTCTGGAACGTAAACTGGATCCTCTGCCCTAGCTGTCGGAAACCGTTTCTAGTTTAGGCAGGGTTTAGCGCTTTTGGGTTTGCCGTTTAGGGTTTTAAGAGGTTGAGTTTGAGGTTTGGGTTGGCACACAACTTGACCAAGGAGTAGAAACACAAAACTCTGCATGCCATAGTGCAATAGTCTCCTGCTGCCGCAGTTCTGTTTGTATGTAACAGCAATGGGGCTTACTTACTGCAGGACAGCAACTCAGTGTATGAGTTCTAGACTGTTCAAGGCAAATTCGGCACATGCACAAGAGTAACAGTTTGTGGACGCTCGCATACTCTCCATATGTGCAAACACCAGACCCCCAACACGAACCCGCAAACCCTAAATCCTGAACCCTAAACCCTGAAGCCTAAAGCCTATATAAACCCCTAAACCCTAAACCCCTAAACCTCCAAACCCTAAAGCCTAAACCTTCAACCCAATCCTTCCCAGGGGCAGAAAGAAGCAGGAAGCCATGCATTGCCGGCCTTCGTGGGCTGCTTGGCGACTTTAAGTTCTTTCAAGGGATGTCAGGGTTCATAACTGGCTCCATCCACCGAGTTGAGGTCTACATGATTAGTGTTTTTTCTAACACTAATGACCACATTGGGAAAAAGCCGTAGCTTCATGAAGATAGAGGGCCTAGGAACCCTATTCTCATTATAATAAGAAACCCCCCACAACCCTATTCTAATTAACGCACCTGCATCACACCCTAAACCCTAAACCCTCAACCTCACCCCTTATATCCTAAACCCTAAACCCCAAACCCCAAAAAAACACTCAACCTACCCTATTCCAACCTACCTTATTCTAATCAAGGCCCCTAAACCCTAAACCGTAAACCCTAAACCCCTAAAGCCTAAACCCTAAACCATAGTCCCTATTCTAATTAACTGGGTTGGCCTTTAAACCCTTTGAAATTTTTTATATAAAGAGCTCCTTATAAACCCAAATAGGGAAAATACAAAATGTCCCAAAAACCATCCTAGTGAGAAGCTCGCGAGTTCTCACGGCTGAAACCCTGGCAGTTCCTAGATTTGCCCTTAGAGCAGTATATATATATATATACATACATATATATATATATATACATCCTGAAGGCCTTACTCCTATACCCTGAAGGCCTTACACCATAGAAAATGACTGAATTTCAGACTGCAGCATCAACTCCTGCCACTGACCCCCTTTCGGATACTCGACAATCTACCCCCTGCATATAGCAGAAACTCCGATATAAGCACAAGGGCTGCGCGCTCTGTGTTTATCTCTCTGTCTCTCTTGCTCTCTCTCCCCTTCGCTCGCTCTCGCTCGCTCGTTTCTCTTTGTCTGTCTCTGACTATCTCTCTTGGGTTTATGAGGGGTAGTCGGGGGTGGTTGTAGGGTTTAGAATGCTTTTTGCTTTGTCGTCTTAGATGCCCTTTGAACCGTCAATCACTACCAACTCATCAGAGCTGAGCACAATAGAGAAAAATCAAAACTTGCGTGGGCAATTCTAAGCTCTAGTTAGGGCCCCAAAGGATAGGGATATCCCATATAAACCTGTTTATAAAGCCAATAAGGTAGGGATATCCCTATAAATGCTTATGCTAATGTCCTTTTTGGTTCCTAACTAGTGTCAAAGACACCCCCCCCACGTCGGTCCTGGAATGGTGTCGCACCCGGATAACCCTAAACCCTAAACCCTAACACACCCCCCACGTCGGTCCTGGAATGGTGTCGCACTCAGATGTCGAAGCGCCAACCAGTTGGAAGAGTTGCCTGGAGGTTTACAGGTCTAGGGTTTAGGGTTTAGGGTTTGAGGTTGGGCCAACGAGGCTACAGGCTATCTGGCATTAAAAAAAAAACGCAGATAGCCAGCCGAACTAAACCCTATAGATTCAACTTTCCAGCTTACATACACCTTCCTCCATCCGTAACCTAAACCCTTGCCTGAAACCCTCTTCATGGGAATGGAGCTCGGAACTGTGCTCAAAGGTCACCAGAAGGGATCTGCTTCTGTCCTTGGCGATGCTGCCCGATTTGCCCTACGCCCTGCCGGCCGCAGATTGACGCATCGCCCCGAAACTTCCTGGATTCGCCTCTGCACTTCGGCCGTGACGTCCCACAACTTCGAGCGTGCTGGCTCGTGAATGCCACAGATTTTGAAGGATTTCGGACCCAAGTTCGTGCATCGAAGCTTCACCTCTGGCTAAGAAGTGGTTCCCTTGCCCTCAAGGGACTCATGTTTTAAAGCTTTTGGGCCCAAAGACCCTATTCTAGGAGGCATTTGGCCTATTTTGATGTTAAGGGTTTAAGATGACTTCTGTGTCGTGCACTCCGCACAGCTGCGATAGATTGAAGTGTTGGTTGCTTGCACGGCAGGCCTGATTACAAGCTTCCATGCTTGTCACCTCCACCAAACAAGAAGGCTGTCACTCACTACTACTTTGATTCGGGTTGCCCATGCAAATAAGCCTGCAACCTTGAACCAAGTCGAACGCCACCCCAGTTCACGGTAGCTGCCGACACACGATCCCATCCTCTGTCGCAACATACATGCTGTTCTGATCCAGATCACAACAGAAACATAACAAGAGGAGAACACACGTGGAGACTGATGCCCTAAGCCCTAAACCCAACTCTAAACCCTAAACCCTCAACCCAGAGCCCTAAACCCTCAGCGCATCTTTAGTCGTGCTCCCTATAACCCGACCAGCACTTCGCTGTATGCATCAGGAATCCACGACCTTCGAACCGATAGTTAAAACTGGGCTTTGAAGTAACCGGGGAGAAAACAGTATAGACTTTTATTTTATAATGGTTCCTTTAAGGAACAGGTCCCCAAAAAAAGTATTAAAGTATGGTGCTCCAAAGCCCAGAAAATCACCTTTTGCAATGAGATAGGGGCCCTGATAATCAGAATAGGCTCCTTTGAAGGGTTACTTAAGGGGTTCTATCAGGGAGGTACAAAAAGGGTTTAGGGTTTAGGGGCTTTAGTTTTTTGGAATACGGTTTTGGGGTAAATTTTGCATAATTGTAACAAGGAACCCCCAATAATAAGGAACCCCCAGAATAGTAGAGGTAATTATTAAGGCCCCTATATTGAACGTATAAGAACCTCTTCAATAATCCAGACCCTAGGCCCTGAGCGCCTAGACCCTGAACCCGCATGCTTCAACCCCCAAACCCAAATTCGAGAAACCCATTCATGTAGGGACCCTTTTAAACAGAAAGTCAGAACGGAACAAGGCTCCCAAATCAGATGTTGGGGCAAATGGGAGACCCTAAACCCTAAACCTCTAGACCCTAAACCGGATGTAGGGGCAAATGGGAGATATGCTTACCAATCAGAATGGGGCTCTGCCGGGCCTAGCAGGAGATTTAGGGTTTAGGGTTTAGGGGTTTAGGGTTTAGGGTTTAGGCTTTAGGGTTTAGGGAGATTTGACCACCACTGAAAAATTTGTAATTCAGACCTCTTTATTGAGTCACGTTCTTCTTTGCGGCCGGTCTGCTGCGCCAGCTTCAAGTGATCTCTAGAGTTCGTCGCCTTCGCGGAGCGTGCATTGAGGGCTTCGGGCTTATGATTTAGAGCTTAGGATTTGATGGAACTGCCTACAAACTACCACTAAGATAAAACTGGGCTTTGAAGTAACCAGGGAGAAAAAAGTAGAGACTTCTTTTATTTTATAATGGTTCCTTTAAGGAACGGGTCCCCAAAAAAGTATTCAAGTACGGTACTCCAAAGCCCAGCACTATGATAAAACCATCTGTGAAGTTCTGTGAGGCTCAGACTGTCGGATGACTGCGATTCTTTCCCCCTCTTTCCCTTTTAGCGGGACCGGAGCACTAGTCATGGAGGAACATAGGGGCCCCAGAATCTGATTCTCAACTGGTTTTGGGGCAGAAATCTTGTAGTCATATAGAGACTATACAAGGGTAAGATAAAAGTATTCGATTAGCGCGGCGTTTGTGGTATTAGGGCTATTCGGATACTCTCAGAGATACGGTTGCTAATTATTTACGACCCGTGTCTAGTATTCTAGCATACAAGTTGTGCAGAGTTTAGAAGAGAACGCAAATTATTCCCCTAACAGTCCAAGTACCCAATAATAACCATACTATCCTCCCACACACACACTAACCTACACAACTACTGTCCTAACCCCAAGTACCTGATCATTATTGGGTCCTTTGACTCTTTAAGATTCAGGCTGTGTCTTTACGTGCATAGTTCAGCCCGGCCAACATCTCCGATAGCCGATGCCAGACGAGCTAGCAGGGTACAGGGTTTAGGGTTTTCGGACTTACGGCTTGAGGGGTTTAGGGTTCAGGGGTTTAGGGTTTAGGGTTTAGGGTTTAGGGTTTAGGGTTTAGGGTTTAGGGTTCAGGGGTCCCGATGTGTTGCTTGGGCTCGGTAAGACTGCGAAACTGGGTGTAGTGTATCTCAAAGAGTTGACTTTCGTCGACCCCAAAAAAGTGCTCGTGTGGCCTGGAATATGAGCTGCACACTTCAGCCACTTCAGCCCATCCCCGAAACCTAAACGGGATGAAACCTCAAGTGCCAAATCTGAGTGGCCCTCGATCCGAAGCCCCGGACCCTTTAAGCCCAAACCCTTATACAAAACCCTGGTAAAGCTGTAAATAGACAATGCAATAGCTGTAAAGTAAGGCACATGTGAAGCATGTTAACCCCACATTCCCAACTTATCCCAGTCCCGCTGGTAGCCCTAGATCAAGCATTGCGGGTGGGCACGCCTGTCCGAGCGCGGCGAAGACAACCCCCTTCAGAATGTACCTTGCGTGTGTGCATGAAAGGTCACGCTTAGCATAGATGTATATGTATGTGTGTATATATATATATATATATATATATGTATATGCATACGTATATCTGTGGATATATGTATCCATGTAGTTGTATCTATGTTTATTTGTGTGCTTGTTGCGTTGTATATATATTTATTGCTCAAAACAAATAAGCAACCTAAATAACTCTATATACATCTATACATACATACACACACATATCCATTTTGCACATATATATATATATATATGTGCGTGTGTGTGTGTGCGTGAAAAAACCAGGTCCACATTCCAATCCTCCGTTGCCGGAGTGGCGCTCCAGTTTAGGGCCAACAACACAAACCTTGAGCGCACACAAAACACCCTCAGCGCCCCTAAACCCTAAACCCTAAACCCTAAAACCCTAAACCCTAAAACCTAAACCCTAAACCCTAAAACCTAAACCTTCAGTGCCCCAGTGGCGTCTCAGTTCAAGGTTTTCGTTTGGGGCCTGAGGTTTGGGGCTCAGGCTTGTGATTTAGAGTTGGGGTAGGGACCCAGGATTTGCCATGTTTAGGGTTTAGGGTTTAGGGTTTAGGGTAAAGACCCGCTAAACCCTAAACCCTGAACCCTAAACCCTAAACCTTAAACCCTAAACCCTAAACCCAAAACCCTAAACCTATACTCTGAAGACACCTGAATCGAGGCATCCCAGAAGGTGCCCGTAATGAAATCGTTGTATAACCACCTACAGTCACCCCAGAAAGTCAAACAACCTGAAACCCCATAAACCTTCAACCCCAAACCCTAAACCCTGAACCTCGCGACTTAGGAAAATCCGAAAGCTACGAAATCTGCTTGGCCACTCCCTTGGCATTGAAGGCTCCAAGTCTTTGATGAGGTTGTACGCCTCCTGCGCCTGCCAGGAAGTAAAGCCCTCCTAAAGGCGTACCTTGGGGTGTAGGGTTGAGGGTTTAGGGGTTTAGGGGTTAGGGTGTCGGGGTTTAGGGCTTAGGGTTTAGACCAACACCTACTTTTTTTGTAGGCTCTTATTATGAACCCTAGTATGGATTTTATAGGGACCCTACAAAAAAGTAGGTTTTGGTAGTTTCCTGTTTTATATAGTAAACCCTAAAAAACCCAAACCTTCCTGTCAGCATGAGGTGGGTTTGGGGTTTGGGGTTTGGAGTTTTGGAGCTATACCTGGACGGACGCCCAGAGTATGTAAAGGTAAGGGCTTTGGGTGTTGGCACCACCCTAAACCCTAAACCCAAAACCCTAAACCGCCCCTAAACCCTAAACCCTAAACCCTAAATCCTAAATCCTAAATCCTAAACCGCCCCTAACTGCGAGGTCGACAGCCCCCATCCCACTAAGCTCGAATCCCGAACCCCCAAAGCTCCATGATGACTAACCTGGGCTTTGAAGTAACCAGGGAGAAAACATGTATGGACTTCTATTTTATGATGGCTCCCTGAAGGAACAGGTCCCCCAAAATAAGTATTCAAGTATGGTACTCCAAAGCCCAGGTTATTAATACTACCCATGTTTCGGGTTTAGGGTTCAAGGGTTTAGGAGTTTAGGGATTTAGGAGTTTAGGAAATTAGGGTATAGGGTTTAGGGGTTTAGGGTTTAGGGTTTATAGGGTTTAGGGTTTGAGGGTTTAGGGTTTATAGGAGTTTAGCGTTTATGGTGCAGGACCCCCCTAACACCCTTTTAATGGAGCCATTAAGCCGTTCTCTAAATTAGGGTCCCTTTTGGGGTCCTTTTTATAAGGGTCCCGTACAATATTGGGGACCTAGAAAAGGACCCTAATTTAGAAAACTACCCACATGGACTTGTGCAGGGTTTAGTGTTGGGGCTGGGGTTTAGGGTTGTTGAGGCTTCAGGCTTCTAATTAGGCATTCTGCGAGGTATATGTGTGCAGTGTATCTGGGTAGTTCTCTAAACTAGGGTCCCTTCCTAAACCCTACCCCTAAACTCTAAACCTAAACCCT